TAAATCCCCCCCCCCCGACATACTGAACAGCTGTGATGAGAGTCTTTGTCAAAAATCAGTAACAGTCCTCATTTTGGCCATTGGGGTGCGCGGTGCTCCTGTCAAGTGCAACTGACCTCCACGCTGCCCTCGGGGAAGCCGAACCTTTTCTGCACCACGGCCGTCAGCTCTCGGATGCGACGGCCTTTCTCTCCCAGGACATTCTGGGTCCTGGAGACAAAGAAAAGTGCAGCCGGTTGGTGTATCTCAATGTATTTCACAGTGAAACGATTAATTCCATTCGATTGGATGAATGTGCATCTTTCAAACCCAAAAATGATTTTCCGGTCATTTTTTTTTTTTTTTACTTGGCAGAAAATCCGTTTTAGTGCAGCAGTTTTGTCCCTCTCAGACAAATGCCTCAGCATCTTCAGCAGAAAAACGACTTTGTATTGCCGGCGGGAGCCGAAGCAGGAACGCAGAACGCGAGCTGAAGCGGCCACCCCGCAGCAAACAAAATCCCGATCCGACTCGTCATCGTATCTTCACCGAGGGTCAACTCTGCATTTGACTTTGGACTTCCCATTTACTGCTTTGGCCAAATCATCAAACAGGCAAATACTTTGATCATGAAGTATTGCACCTGCCAATCTACCAATAAAGTAGATCGTGTCATCACCTTCAAATCATGTGACCGGAAGATGCGTTTCAATTGGCCGCCTGAATTTCTGCCTCGGCACATCACAAAGGTGGCGGACCGGCGGAGAGCTTTTCACTTGGCAATGCCAAAACCATCCAACGGGTTCCTCCAGTCCCAAATGAAGGGCACAAGATGAGCTTCAGTTTGTGTCTCCGGCGCACCAATTCCGTTTGTACCGGTGCCACCCGACGCCAATAAAGACATTTTAGGTTCCATTTGCTTTGAGACGCATCTTTCGGAGAGCACCAACCTGGTGGCAAGGATGATGATCTCGGTCCTGGTCGGGGTGACGCGCACCTCCACCCCCGAGTAGCCGTCCTCGGCCAGCTCCCGAGTCAGGAACTCATTCAGCTCAGCCTTGAAGATCCCGTCCGAGACGAACTGCAACCGACAAATGCAAGGGGGAGCCGCCATAAGTGGAACAATCTACATGACCATTACTCTTCTTCATGCCTCATCTCCATACTGCTTTTGCAGGGCGCCCCCAATTGTTAGACCGAGACGTCACATTCAGACTTACAAAACAAGACAATTTTGTGTAACTAAATGTATATGGAAACTCAACATGTTCACAAGTCCATGACAACAAAATATGAACTTTTCACTGCTGTTAAAAACAAAACAAAAAAAAAAAAACCACCATGCAGTACCGTCCAGTAAATCCTCACGTACTCGTGCTTCGGTTACTGAATTTACTTATGCACAGGACGCCCTTCCATACATAGCCCGTGTTTTTGGGAGCCTACCACTACTTTTCATGTTAAATGGTTGTTGGCCATTTATCCTGGATTGTTCCAAGAATTGGGGGGCGGGGGGAGTTAAAAACATTTTTAAATTTCATATGCATTTCAATTAGCAGCAAGTATACGGTACACCGATTTATGGCCCCTAAGCTCCACTACTCTTAAAAGTTGTGAACGCATATTTGCATGCAGATTTTCATACTTCTTCATTCATTCTTTTTTGGTATTTATCACTGAAAGGCTCCTTGAATGATCCGTCTGCTAAAAAGCTGGTCTCGTGTAAATGAATTCATCCCCGACAGCGACGAGTGGCACCTTTTGGTGTGGACGGTTGCTCAAGTCACTTTTACTCTAGCGTTGACAAAGTTTTGAACCATTAAGGCGAGACCAAAGAAAGGCGCCTTCACTGGAACTTGACCGATTTCCCGTTTGGTTGAACTTGAGGCTGGAGGTGCCGACGACAATTAGCTTGAACGGAAGCGACTGCCAACCAAGTCAACGACTCGAGTGTCCCCGAATGAGGAGGCGTTTGAGCCCCGCTGTCTGATCGTGTGCCAAAGAGGCCAACTCCGACTTGAACAACGAACGGGAAGAAAAAGCCAACTAAATGTAAAGTGCCTTTCTGGTCTCGTTTCTTGTTTGGTTTAGTTGGCCGGCACATCATGTCAACACCACGACGCCGCCATGTTCGCGAGCCGCTAGAAAGCAGCGGCATCGACGGCTGCATCTCGAGCAATCCTGGCCGAGTGGACGCCGGCTGCGACTTGACTTGTGACGGCGGGGGACAAACCGGGCCGGGGCCCCCCGTTATTTAAGGTTAATAACCAGAATTTCTGTATCACAATAGAGTAATTTCAAACCTGTAGCCAATAAAAATCACATTAAAAACAAAAAATAGCGAACCGGGATAAACGGATTACAAAATGGATGGATATTTAACCTGTGGCGAATACTTTAAACTACAACCCATCGCAGTGATGAAGCCTCACGAAAATCGTAAGTATTGGCGAGTGCGAATTTTAAAGCCACTGATAGGTGAATGAATGTTTTGGGCCCTTCCAAATGGCTTTTCACTGGCTGTCCATACAAATATGACATTATGACTACCAATGGCAGTTTTCAGGAGTTCAACAGGCGAGGGCGCTACACGTTCGTGTTGTGGAGAGAATTAAAGGATGGACGTGACATGATAAGCGGGAGTGGGGTCAGTCATTACTGTACATGTGGGTCAAAATCCAACAGGTATGCAGCGTATGCTCATCGTGAAGTGACTTGAGTTCACTGGCAGCCCACAGCTCTCCGAGCTCAAGTTTGCGCTTGCACACCAAAGCGCGAAAACCTGCACCCAGCATCACAAATCTGTCTTTTTTACGGCAACCTCGAAGTTGGAAACCACTTCCTACTTGTACAATTGTAAGACCCCCCCTCCTGCCAGAGGCTGCCCCTCCCCCAACTCTCACAGACTGCCTCCATTGAGGAGCATTAGCATACAGATGTTACCTTGAAAAGGGAAACACAACACAATGGGGGGGGGGGGGTTGTCCCAGTGATGGCCCCTTGGCCTTTTTCGGGCCCCCTCCGCCCCTACAAACACACACACACACACACACACACACACACACACTGAATGGTAAGTAGCCACAGGGGTTGTGGGAGTGTGTCCTGCAAGGTTTTTGTCTTTTATTAACACACAGCCTCAGCAAAATGCCAGCACACATGGTCACATTGAAAGACACCACACATAGACACACCGGGCCGCCCTTTGTCAGAGCATCTGTGACCCAAACATTCTTTTCAGTGTCACTCACCACAATCACCACAAACAACCAAATGGCAACATAATATGTACTCTCACACACACACAGACACACGCACACACGCGCGCGCACACACACACACACACACACACACACACAC